AGCAGAAGCTGCGAGCCAAATTCCAACAAGGTCTGCGCGTTTATCGTGTGACCTGCCATTATGGTAGCTATGCTTACGTGATTGTGATAAACGTAGGGTGAATTTATTTAGTTACTTGTTGCGTGGTGCTCATTGTTTCGAGCTTAAGGGAGACTTTTACCGTATAATCCTCGCTATAAATAGCGAGAATGAGAGTTGCTGCTCGGTTGGATATTTTTGCGCAATGTTGTTTTGTTAATGTGGGGCCAGTGTGTTTGTAACAGGTAGCGATCGTTGAATAAACGTTTGTACGTAATGTAAATTGAACGTTGCAAGAGAAAGAATATTTCTCTTTTGCACGCGAGCGCGTGTGTGTGTTTCAGTTAAAAGTAACGATACGATCGTGACGACAACTGCTGATTGCCGTAATAATACGGGTCAGCCCTTGTTTGATTAAAAATTGACATTGAACTTAAAATCGCTGGAATAGTTAATATTAATTAAACTTCAAATTAGAACGTAACTTTTCGTGCTTGCCATCAACGAGGAATTTAATTTTCATTGTGAAACAGAATGTCGATTGCTTAAAGTCGATTACTCACACTCATACTGAATAATCATTTTATCACGGGGATTTATCAAAATATAAAAAAAATAAAATAAATAAAATAACTAACAAGTTACGTCGGATAAAGCCACGTGTAAGCATTAACGCCGACATTAATGATAAAAAAATTTTATTTCGTCAATTCATGAAGTTTGTCGTAAATACTGTTATAGCTGTTGTTTGTTGTTATTATTATTATTTAATTGATGTCGATGGTGGTCGTAGTAGGGATACGTAAGCGGGCCGGATTCCGTCTTATCGACAATAAATCGTAATTCCATCGATGAAATACATTGAATTTTATCCGCCATGTTAAAATTTAACTTTTTTCAGTGATAGAAGTGCAGTGAAGTGCGCGTCCTCGGTGTAAAGATAAACCGCAATTAATATACGGATAAGGGCTCTCGCGAGTCAACAAAACAACGCGTAGCATTCCGCACGAGGACGAAGAAACGAAGGAATCATGCGGTCATTTCGCAGCCGGTCGAAAGGCCCTCGCTAACCACCTCCAAGCTTCACGCCCACGAAAATAAAGAGGGACAGAGACAGACAGATCTCAATAGATAGATACATAGATAGATAGATAGATAGATAGATAGAGTGTGCGTGCGTGCGTGCGTGCGTGCGTGCGTGCGTGCGGGTACGAGTTGGGGAGAACGGGCGAAAAGAAGAGAGTGGCTGGAGGGAGAAGTGGGAGTGGTAGTGATCGAGAGCGAAAGAGTGAGGGAGAGAGAGAGAGAGAGAGAGAGAGTGAGGCCCCCCCCCGGGTAAGAGTGGCGATGTTTGTCGACTCGTCCCCCGTGCCCCCATTGTCTTCATAAGCGGAGCTGCGGGGAAGGGCCCAGAATTCTATGAGAAGGCGGAGGATGTGCGTCGAGTCCAAGGACAGCAGCGACAGCGACAAGGTCGTCAGCGCCATCATCGGTTACTTCACGGCCAGGGTAATTATCATCTGGCGAACGCGGTTGCCGCGTCCCTTCGCAGCTTCTAATAGACGCTGGAGGATAACTGGCTTTTGATTATTAATGCGACGATTATTGTATTGGAGATGACGCGATCGACGTCGCTACCTCGAAGCGCATGAAAATTCGAGATCTTTTGCGTCTGAATATTCGATACTCAGATTGATAAGGTTATCGATTTGATTAATCGTGAGTCTACAAGTGCTAAACTGGTTTTTCGGCCAATTTATTATCTATCATCATTCGATATTTAGTTTGTAATCAATTAGATATCGACTACCGTTGCGACTCGATGAATTATTATTTAACACTAACTACGAAAAGAATTGAGAATTGTTTTTTTTTTTTTTTTTCATTATGCGGCATCTTATTCTGTTCTATTCTTTCGCTACAATTGATTTGTTCTAAGACAATACTTGTGTGTGTGTGTGTGTGTGTGTGTGTGCGCGCGCGCGCGCGCGCGCGCGTGCGTGTAATGCTCAATCCTTCGAAGAATGCCTTATCGTTATTTGATTATTTATTTTTATTCAGCAGTACAGCGAATAAAAAAAATGGGTATAAATTAAATTTCCACTTTGCCTCGATTATGAATACAAGGCAATAGATTATATTACTTTTACATAGCAAAAGTAATTTGAATTTAAATACTAGTGAGGCTGATGTTGAAGTGACGTCGTCATCGTTTGTCTACATTTTTCGTTCGCATCATAGGTCGGAGAATTAAGTAGATAGCTAACATGATATTTATATTACTCGTGTCACGGATTAGGAAATACGGATATCTTACTTAGGTACCGTTGATATTAACGAAAATACTCGTAACGAAACATAAATACCAGACCGCCTTTCTTCCGCTTCGAGTGCTTTAATTATTATTTTTTCACTATACGCAAGTTTCCCGCTCTATCCATAATTCGTACACGTATCCCACACATTAACATAATCCAAATATATACACGTGTATTGTAATATAATAATATATATATATATATATATATATATATATATATATATTATATCTAACGTTCGTTCGCGTAATAAATTTAAAGCGTAAAATTGAGTTGAATTGAATTAGATTGGGAGTATTAGAATCAATTTCAAATCGACTATGCCAAGAGAAGAGAAATTATGGATATTTTCGCCCGAGGCACGAAATCGTTTGGCCAGAAATTGGCTTAAATAAATACCTTCTCCTGCTCCTTCGCCGACAATCCGGAAGCCTTTTTGTTCTTTCTTTCTTTAGTTCCTTCTTTCTCTCTCTCTCTCTCTCTCTCTCAATCCTTCTTTCTTTCTTCGACAGAGCTCGTGCAAGCAAATATTTAAGCCCTAGACTAGCATTGCTTGAGATATAAAAAGAAAAAGAAAAGCGTATTTGGCGGCAGATATTTGCCGCTAAAGTGGGAACTGATCGTTCCGATCTGCCTAGAAACGCAGAGCCATACAGCTATCGAAATCGTCCCGATTAGCCATCTTTAATCGTCCTTTTTTAATCTCAAATGACGACGTACCAGCGATACCTTATCACCCTTAGCTCGTCTTTTCATAATGCAATGCCCTTTACAAAAAACTGAAATGCGTTCATCCTCGATGTGCGTACGTCGCTCGCGCTCAACCTATAATTATCGTCACGCTTTTTAAAAAACTATTTAAAAACTATTCGTGCGACGAGATATTTCATTAGCGTGGGCTAGATAAATGAAAACGTTTTCTCGGAATCAGGGCCGGGCGAAAGATACATTAAGTGCAAAAAGGCAATTAGTGGGAAGCCTCGACTTATATTAGAGGCTGCATTGCATTATTAATAATTATGTGGCAACGAGCCGCTCGACGACGGCACTTCCTAAATCCAATGGGCCGTTGGTTTGGCCATCTAGCGGCAGGCAGTTACTGGCTGCTCTCGGCAATAATGCTGCGCAGCGCCTTTCATCCGCTGAAATGGCTCCTCGCTAATCGACGCCGCTCCCAAGTCGTCGCTATTGTACACTGCACCGACGCACTCGGACTTTCTCTTGGCTCGTTGGAGCGAGAAGTGGCCGAGGGGGGCGCGCCCCATCCCAATAGAAATACCTCGGCGACCAGAAATACGTCGCTCCTTTATTTTGTCGTCGTCGTCTTCGTCGTCGTCGTCGTCGTTGCCGTTGTTGTCTTTGCGTCTTTACGATAAGCGATCGGCTGGAGCTTACGCGCGAGTCCGAACCGCAGTCGACGATAACCGCGCGCATGTGCAACTCGCGACATTAGCGGGGAAAGTCACCTTTCACCCGCGCGAGCATCCGCCGATCGCGCCGAGGCGACAGTCGAGCTCGGCTCCTCCTCGGCTCCGGTGGTGCTCGGCGAGCTCAACTACCTCGGCGATGCTCGATCATCGGCATCCCGCCCCCCCCCCCCCCCCC